CACTGCAGGGGGCATGGGTTTGATCCCTGGTCGGGGGACTAAGATAATGCATGCCGCACAGCATGGCCAAAACTTTAAAAAAAACAATTTTAAAAAATGGCATTATGTTCTCCCGTGTGGATATTAATTTTTTTTCCTAATCTTTCTTTTTCTTGCATAGTCTCTGTATAATGAGTTGCTTTTTCCCCCTCTCTTATTAGGATTTTTCCTCATGTGTTTGATAATCCTTGGTTGTCTGTTAATGTTTAAAAATGAGGGGCTAAAAAACTCATTGGTAACTCTGGATGCATGGGTAGGGTTTGTTAGCTGTGCAGTTTATTGTAGGCTAGCCCTGTCCAATAGAAATATAATGTGAATCACATATGTAATTTTAGATTTTCTAGTAGCCACAGAAAAAGATAGAAAGAAAAAAGTGAAAAGAAACATGTGAAATTAACTTTAATAATAAAATTTTTAATCCAGCATATCTAAAACATTATTTTAACATGTAATAGGTATAACAATTATTACCTTCTGTTTTTTATATGAAGTTATTGAACTCCAGTTTTTATTTTACATTTATAGCACATCTCAATTTGGATGCTAAATTTTCATGAAGATACTTGATGTGTATTTAGATTTGAAAAGATTTACAGGTGAAAGGTAGATTCACATACCTAGCGTGTTCCAAACATATTGATACTTAAGTTTAACAATAACAATAAAATATTAGCTTTTAATTTCGATAAAATTAAATAAAATGAAAAATTCCTTTTTCAGTTGCACTAGGCACATTAGAAGTGCTTAATAGTTACCTGTGTCTGGTAGCCACCATATTGGATGGCACGGTTCATCTGCTTGGACTATGTCAGTAGCTTAATGTTGTTTTTCAGTTCCCCAGAGAAGGCTCTTCCAACCTTCTGCCTCAAGGGTAAGGGTTTTGGGGTGCTGGGGTCCTCAGAAACTAGAAGGGGGAAGGTGCTGGGTGTCTCAGCTTATAGTATGCATAGATTATTACTCTTCTTTTTGGTATAGGGTCTCTGCCCACAACTGTGCCTGGCATCCCCTGATCCAGAGATCTGTGTTTTACCCTCTTCTAAGAATAAATTTCCAGACTTCTGCTGGAGTAAGGGAGGGTAGTCTCCCAATGGCATGGGGGGAGGGGTGTTGGGGGGGTAACGGAGAATCTACCTGTCCAGCTGCTTCTTAAGCAGCTTTCAAACCAATCTTATTTTTGGGCCTCCCCCTCCCTCCAACTGCCCATTTCTATAGGTACCTGGTGCTGCTAATTCCTGAGCCTGTTGAGGATCCTGAAGTACAATTTGGATTGGTCATTAGCTTTTCCTATGGCAGGTTTAGGACTCAGTTTTCTTAGGTCTGTTGGGTCTTAGTCCCAGCTTCAAAAGGTGATTGCAATTACGCTTTTCTTGTTCTTCCCAACCTTGTAGGCTCCTTCCCTCTGTCATTTTTTCTTTCTAAAAATTCCTTTTCTGTAGATTTAGAAGGGTTTCAAAAAGCGGGGAAATTTGATTCAGTCTACCGTCTTTTATCTGGAAGTTCCTATTAATCTGTATTCATGAGCAGATTTTGATATGCTAAAAAATTTCATTCCATATTTATGCTTCCTTCAGTATCTATATTTGTAGTTAAAGGTTTTAGTATAGTTTTAGTGGAAGACTCAGTAGGAGGGACAGGACGATGAAGTATTTAGTGAAGATAAGTAAGGGTTTATAGTTTGGGGGCAGAAAATAATTGATAGCAAACAAGGAGAAAGGTGAGTGTAGAAGCATTTAGAAAGAAGTAGGTGGGATCATTAGAGACCGTGTTTAAAAGCTTGAACCTCTGGGGCATAAGGCATAAATATAGCTCCAGTAGCATTTATCTTCAGGGTCTCCACTATTTTTAGTCCTTCTTACTTTTCATGAGCTAGGAACCTCTTGTTGCGTATCTCAGAGAATCCACAAAACAGTTAATGGTACAGTTAAAAAAAAAACAACAAACAAAGCTGTTTGTAAACTGTATGTTCAAGATCTGTAAGGAAAGCACACATAGTATTAAATAAGTAAATTAATACACCCTCAGTATACTGTAGCAGCAGGTTCCATTTCAGTAATGGAATTGAGCTTGCTGTTTGGGTGTTCTGTTGGGTTCTGAAACAGAATTTTGCCTGTAGCACTGTGATTCACTTTGCTGGTAGATGCTGCCCTCTGTTGGAGTAGTTGAGGAAATGCATGGATCATTTTTACTGTCCTTACTCAAATTGAGCACTAAAGCATGGATAATTTTTTTAAGGAATAAATCTGTTTCTAATGATGCACCAAGGAAAGCAAGGGAGACTGGTTTCTTCCTTCTTAAGAAAAGAGATGTTTACTTTTGTATGTAAAGGCAACAGTTAGTGGGCATTAAATGGGAACAAGACAAGAATCTGGAGAGTGCAAATATTTAGGGCTTTGGAATCTGGAGACCAGAGTTCCATACCCAGCTTGCCCTTATTCATGTGACCTCAGTGATTTACTCCACCTGCCTGGGCTTCAGTTTCTTCACTAATGCAGTGAAGAGGTGGAATAGATTTGAGGGCTTTTGCAGGGATTGGTATTTTAGGAGAGCAGCCCCAGATTATGGTATTTGTTCATAGGAGATATAATGACTAAGTCTTAGGCTCTACCCTGAAGGAACTTAGTCTGGAAATGGCTAGAGGAGGCAATCAAAGGAGAGTTGTAATCCACTTCTAGTGCTGTGAGACAGGAAAGTACCTATTTCTATATACACACAAGGAGAGGTACCCATCCAATTAGAGGAGGTATCATCCTGTAGGGCCTGTTGGAGCTAGCCTTGAAAGCACAGTCTAGTCTGAGGGAAACAGCAGCCTAGAGAAAGTCTTGGGTTGTGAGACAGCAAGATCTGTTTGTGGACCTGCAAGCTAGTTAGGATGCCCAGAACATAGAGTTTGAAATGGAGGGTTTGTTGTGAGATGAGTCAAGGGAGAGAAGCCAGAAGTGTCATATGCCATGCTGAGGAATTTGGATCTTAACCTGAGGGCAGTAGGGAACTATTGCAGGGTTTTAAATGGGAAATAACATGGACAGCTTGGCATTTTAGAACGATTACTCTTGGGTATAGTATATAGAATGGATTTTGTGTTGGGCAGATGGGATTGAAGGCAAGGAGATCAGTTAGGAGGCTATTACAGTAAATCAAACAGGAGATCATAGTGGCGTGAACTTCAATAGTGGGGATGGAGGGAAGAGAAATAAGAGTCTGCAGACAGAACAAGTTGCTGGTTTGTTGCTCTTTAACTTAACCTGCAGCTGAAATTGATTCATTAGACCCAGGTTCTGTTACCTACGTTATATCCATCCCAGAATTGTTTGGGTTGTTGCTTGGTTCTGAGGGAACATTTTGAGTTTGGAGGACAAGGTTCTGGAAGCACTTGCTCTAGGAGCAAATAAGTTTAACCTTCGCAATGGCAACCTAACTATAAACATTCATCCTTTTTGTGGCTTGTTTCACCTCTGTGTGTCAGGTGACAGGGTGGTGACAAAAGGAACTGTGAGTCTCCTTGGGTGTTGCTGTCTCTGCTTCATCATCCTTCTGCCTTTGCTGCCCTTCTGCCTTTACTTTGTGTAAACAGCACACACAAAGTAACTTTAGATTCCATTGACACTGAGCAAGGATCGTATGGTTTCGGGTGAGTGATTAGCATTCCATCAGTAGAAGGTTGACCTCCTCTGGACCGTGGAGGGCAAAGTTAAGATTCACAGGTCACACTGGATTTAACCGAACTCTGACATGGGGCACATGAACATAAGGACATAGATTTTTCTCGTCTGTAAAAAGGTTGGTAAAGTAGCTTTGTGGCAGTGTCAGAAACAGTTTTTCATTAGTTGAGAAAAGTTCATCAAGAGGCATTTACTATACTCTTCTAAGGACATTAGCAAAAATAGATATGGTTTAAAACTAAGTATTAGAATGAAGAATTCCTGCTTTCCTGGAATACCTGCTTGTTCAGATTTTTTGGGGTAAAGTGTAGCACATATACAGAAGAGAATATAAAACATACAGAATAATTATAAACAGAACATCCATGTAACCATCATCCATATCAAGAAATAGAATATTATTGTAAGTACCCCCGAAGCCCCCTGTCCCCTTCTGCAGTCATTACTCTTCCACCCACTTCAGGTAACCACTGTTTTGCCATTTGTGGTAATCATTCCCTTTATAATTGTACATCCTAAATAATATAATTTAGTCTTGCATGTTTTTAATCTCAGTGTAAAAGAAATAATACATTCACTTTTATGTTTGTGAGTAGCTGTAAGTTCATTCACTTTCTTTGTGTAATTGTTTTCCACTCTACCATTATACGAGTTTATCCATTCTATTCTTGATAGCTATTTGGATTGTTCTCTGTTTTATTGATAGATATTACACTGTTGCTGTGAACATTCTTGTTATACACAACCTGCTACATATGTGCAAGTTTCTGAAGGGTAGATTTATAGGAACTGACATGTTGAGTTGTAATATATCTGCATATTTTAACTTTACTAGATCATGCCATACTGTTTTCCAAAGTGGCCATAGCAATTTACATTCACACCAACAGTGTGTGAGAGCTCCCGCTGCTCTGTGACTAGACAGACACACATGAAAATTTTTGCCAGTCTTGAGTGTGAAATGATACCTCGTTGTGGTTTTAGTTTGCATTTCCTTGTTTACTAATGCAGTTGAACACATTTCATAGGTTTATCAGTCATCCCATTTAGAGTTTTTTCAGTTCTCCACCTTTTTTTCCCCAAAGGGTTATTATATTTTAGTGACCTTAAAACTCCTGCCCCTTACCTAAGGAAATGTGCTAAGGAATAGTCTGGCAGAAATCTAGCATGTGGGAAGGAGCCTATATCCTTTCAACTTATTTTCTCCTCTTTTTTTCCCCAACCCATCTGGTATTTGGGAGGTTTCCTGGCATTTCACTGATCTCTCTTCCCTTTCTTCTCCCTCGTTTTTCCTGTTCCTAGACTCTGAAGCGGCTCATGGCAGATGAGGTAAGGAAATTTTGTTCAGCATGTGCATGGCTCACTTCCTACACTATGACATTTACCAGTTGCAATAACTTTGACTTTCTGTAACTTATAAATGTGATATGGGTTCTATTCTCAGGTCATCCCAAAGCTTTTTCCTAACTCTTTGCTCTGTTTGACCCATTGCATGCATTTCCCTGGCACATTCATTGGCTTCCAAGGTTAGGCATGTTCTTTAAACTCCAAGCTGACTTGCTGTCCGGATGTCACTCTGATCACTTGAAGCCCCGGAATGCTTGCAGATATTTACTGCTATTTTCAACAGGTAGTGCCGACAAGCTGCCGCTTATCGGTAGCTCCTTTTGAATCGAACAGCTGTCCTTGCGGTTTGAGGAGTGGTTCATAAGCATTTGGTTGACAGAGAGATGACATATATACCCCTGAAGTAGATTACATTCTTTGCAAAGGGGATTTTGGAGAATATGTACTGAACTTTTGCTGCTTACATAACACAGGTGCTGTGGAGCGTACAGAAGAAAGAAAAAGGAATGGTTCCTGGTTTTAAGGCGTTTCCTTGTTTCTTGTATATGACGTATATCTATTAAAATCTATGGTCACACTTACCTCTTGAAGGGAGAGATCCTCTGAGGGCCTGGCCATATTTATTATTGGATAGCTAGAGGGAAACAAAAGGCATTTTACTGAGCACTCTGCACATGAGGTGCTGTCAGTTCTGTGCTGCTAGACGGCTTAGAAATGACAGGGGAGCTAAAGAACAAAGTTTTCTCTTTTTAGAGAGTTTCCAGTTCTTAATACTTCATTCCTCTTATCTTTGGATGAAGGTGAGAGTACAGAGTCCGTGTAGTAAATTAGATACAAGGAAGACTGGTTTCTCTTTTTCATGTCAGAAGAGCCTTGAACTGGCCACAAACCAGAGGAGCCATGCACGTATAAGAAGTTAGAGGCTATTTGATGTGTGCTTTGTTGTGTAAACGAAAATGGATGACTGCTAATACTTTTTTTTTCTTTCTCAGCTGGAGAGATTTACCAGCATGAGAATTAAGAAGGAGAAAGAAAAGCCTAATTCTGCTCATAGAAATTCTTCTGCATCATATGGGGATGATCCCACTGCACAGTCATTGCAGGATGTTTCAGATGAGCAAGTTCTAGTACTCTTTGAACAGATGCTGGTAAGTTTCCCACCCCAAAGCATTGCTTCTTCTTGAAAATGCTTTTACGAGCATGATGGGCCCTTTTTTGTGTACAGTCCCCCTTAACTATCCTTTAATTACAAAAAATTCCAGGCTTAACAGAGAACTTCTTAATAGCAGTCCCATTAATGAAGGGACTACATATACAAGCGCCAGTCCGTAAGATTGGAATCTATGAATTAGGCTTGGAAATATCTGATCACTGACCACCTTGTTAATGTCCTGCAGCCCAGCAGCACTTTAGCCACAAAGATATAAAATGAGTGGGACAGCTCTTGTGGTAGTGTGATGACCACCTTTGGGTTAGCCAGAGTAGATAAAGTTTTAAAACATTCACAACAAAATCTATATGAAGAAGAAGCTGAGTGACTTCCCTCGTGGCGCAGGGAATCCGCCTGCCAATGCAGGGGACACGGCTTCGATCCCTGGTCTGGAAAGATCCCACATGCTGCCAAGCAACTAAGCCTGTGCGCCATAACTACTGAGCCTGCGCTCTAGAGCCCGTGAGCCACAGTGCTGAGCCCGCGTGCCACAACTACTGAAGCCCGTGAGCCTAGAGCCCGTGCTCCACAACAAGAGAAGCCACCGCAATGAGAAGCCTGTGCACCACAACGAAGAGTAGCTGCCGCTCGCCACAACTAGAGAAAGCTCACGCGCAACAATGAAGACCCAACCCGGCCAAAAATAAATAAATAAAAGGAAGGGAGGGAGGGAGGGAAAGAAGAAGCTGAGGAATAGAAAGGCATCGTTTGCCCAAGATCTTCTACTTAGTGGTGAATCTGGAAAGAGAGTTCTGATGTTACAATCACTAGAAGACCTTTAAAGGTTGGGGCTGAGGTCAGTTCAGTAATGAGCTGTGCATGGATGTGACTGACTTTGCTGTCTTCAGTGAGGACCATTGCGTGGGGAGGACACTGAGTGAATGTCCACTAGTGCTAAGTCTTGGAAAGTTTTGAGTACATGCTTATAAGGTTTCATAAGACCTGTATATTAACTTGGATTTATGATCTCAGATTCAATTAGAGATTAGTGGCAGGCCTAACTTAATTAAAAGCATGCGCTTAAAACCCTTAAAACTGAGGCCTGGTACCTGTGGTAGTCACCACTCAACCAGTACTACTATTATTACCTTTCCTTGAAGCTTTCAGTTTGTCTCATAATAATCCAAGTGTGTTAAGAGTCCAAGAGTATGATCTATCAAGACAGTCTCTTGGCCTTGGATTGCAAATTTAAATGTCTTTAGGGCCAAGGGAGGAAGCATAAATAAGTTAAGCAGGCTACATAGAAGATGATAAAAAGGAGAAGGGACTGCAGTAAAATGAAGGACTTTTGGCATTTTTGATAAACTCCAACCACGATTCAGTTCCAGTAGGTTTTGTAGCATTCCAGTTGGGAATGCTAGCCCAGTAGTGCCAGATATTTCTGTTTTTCAAAAGAAACCAGAAATCTCTATTTTTAAAAAAAAACAAAAATTGTTTTTTGAAAAACAAATATCATAGCCAGCATTCAGATTTCCTGAATTAGGTCATTTTTAGAAAAACAATTTGTTTGTTCAAATCACAGTTCCAGGTGAGGTCCATTGTGATATTCTACTAAGTTTCATTTGAACTATAGGTTTTCCTCCCTCTCTTTAATCCTTGCTCTTGTTATAAAAAAAATATGTTGAAGAAACTGTTTGACCTGTAGAGTTTTCCATAATCTTAAATTTGCTGATCGCATCCCTTGGCGCTATAAATTCATATTTTTATATGAAGTCTCTCAAATTTAAAATGTTGAGCTAGCCAGACAAAACATACTTTATCTTTGGGTCTGATTCAACCTGAGGGCCAGTATTTTGCAACTTCCTTGTTCAATTTATCTGTAAAAGGAGGAAGAAAGCACCAGGAATTGAGTCAGAAAGAAGTCAAATTATTACTGTGACAATTTGGTGGTGGTGATTCCTTCACACATCACACACAAACACACACATGGGGAAGAAATTGAATATATCCTTTTTTTTCTCCTATACTTTCCCCGTTTCAAATAATATTCTGGACTTGTTAGGGTTACACTTGTGCTCACAAAAATAGGAGGCTCAGACACGTGGTTATATATGTAATAGGGTCAAGCAGAGCCTTTCCCCCAATGACACACTCCAGGTTATGTCTGTTGAGGGAATTTGTCACAGTTTCCAGTTCTTTCTTCATGGGAAAGGAGTTTGTACAGGGACTTAGTTAACCAGGGGTAATGGGTGTTTAGGCCCTAGAGTGGTGCAGATTTTGCTGCTGTTTGCATGATGCCAGTCATCCAGTGCTTCAGTCTGAAGAGATTATTAAGGTCCATCCTAATACTACGTTTGCTTTTCTTTCAATAATGCAAAATAAGTTTTCCCTCTATATTGAGAGTCCACTTCTGTTAGGGAAAAATTTAGTGTATGTGTATAAAAATGTCTGTTGGGATTTATAATAAAATGTTAACCATATTTATCCCTAAGGAATTCCCATCATCTATAATAGCTTAAGTCTCTAAGGATCAGGAAAATTTATTTATTCAATAAGCATTTAGTGTGTTCATCTCTTTACTAAGTATACTAAACATTAAACACTGAAAACTTGTAAGGAATTCAAGGCAATTTTTCCCCCTTTTTTCCTCCCATTTCTAGTTGGATATGAACCTGAATGAGGAAAAACAGCAACCTTTGAGGGAGAAGGACATTATCATCAAGAGGGAGATGGTGTCCCAGTACTTGCACACCTCCAAGGCTGTGAGTCCTGGGGCAGGTACCCACGATGTGGGAGACTGTGCCCTTATCTTGGACCTGTTTGTTTTGCTACTTTTATAGAACTTTTCATGTCCACATCAGTTTTATTTCATTCTTTTATATAAACCTACTCATTTTTTACTCTCATTTGAGTTACTTTTCTTACATACTTTTGCCTGATTCGATCTTCATGAAGTATGTATGGGTAATGGGAAGGAAATTCTGAGTCTCACATAGTTTGGTGGTATATATATATTGTTTAAACTGTATTAACTAATTCTGGTCCAATTTATGACTGAGTCCAGTGTTTACTAATCTCTGTATGCTCCTTTCCAGGGCATGAGTCAAAAGGAGAGCTCTAGGTCAGCTATGATGTACATTCAGGAGCTGAGGTCGGGCTTGCGGGATGTGCCTCTGCTCAGCTGCCTGGAGTCCCTTCGTGTCTCCCTCAACAACAACCCTGTCAGGTGAGGATTCTGAGGTAGTAACAGGAGTGAGAGCCCAGTGTTGGAGCTCACTGGTGGGGATTAAAGATCAAAGGAGTCAGGGAAGTATGAGACTGTTTTGGATTGGAAGTAAAGAGTTGCCAGGATATACTTTGTTTTGGTGGATATTTATTGATTTGATTTGATATTGCATCGTCTTTGTCTCTTCCTTACAGTTGGGTGCAAACATTTGGTGCTGAGGGCCTGGCTTCCTTATTGGACATCCTTAAACGACTTCATGATGAGAAAGAGGAGACTGCTGGGTGAGGACTTCCGAGTCTTGGCATCTTCTAGGTGGAGGGTAGTAGAGGACTTGGCTCTTTGCTCTAAAGGAGAAAATGGCAGTTAAATGGAAAGTTATGGACTAGGATATTATGCTGTTAGCTGAGAATGGGGTTTATCGTAGGGGTGACCGGAGAATGAAGGATGATTATAGGTACAGGGAAAGGAGGAACTTAAATTTCACGGTGAATAACACAAGATATATACCACATAAGATTGTGAGTCTCCCAGCACAGGTTCTTATCCAGTCTGGAAATAGGGTCTGATTTAGTCTAAAGCTCTCCTGTGATCTGGCCTGGGTCATATCTCATTTGGAAGTCTTATAATACACTTGATCAGTTTGGGACTAGCTTTATGATAGTCTTCAGGATTGGAATAATTCTGGGGATACCTTGCACTGTCTTAGGTTAGGCTACCTTGAAGCCAGCCTGACCCAAAATGATTTCTCTACTTCCTGGGATCTTTCCAAAACAAAACACAGGACCTCTACCTCCTGAACGTACAGACTTGAAACCGCTGACGCAGTGAGGCAAGCAGTAATAGGTGGGATGTTATCCTGATAGAATTTAGCCCTTAGGAGCCTACAGGGAGTTAAAGGGAAGATTTTAATATAATACTGAATTCTTGGTTTATGAGAGGATTAACCAATGGTTCTTTCTTCAGCTACCTCTTTTCACCAGTGTTTTAGGGTAGAGTGCTATGTGCTAGAATTTACTCAGCTACTAGTTGGGAGTGTTCCTAAGACCCTTGTTTACAAGATTGAAAAGTCAAATGGGGAGGGGTATAGAATGAAGGGACTTCACTGAGTATGTCTTCTACATGCAGAAGCTACGATAGCCGTAACAAGCATGAGGTCATCCGCTGCTTGAAAGCTTTTATGAACAACAAGGTAAGATATTTCCCATCTCATTCAACCCCCATCGTGACCGCTGTTTTTTCTCTTCTGTTGGCAAACTCAAAAAGGGACCTAGGAATATGAGGTTCAAGGCTTCTAGCTTTCCCTTTTAGTACCGTAACTTTTTGATCACCACATACACATACTTTTATGGATCTTTTCCCTCAGTTGTAATGTCTGTTTCAGAGGATAGGCTTAATTTTCTTCTTCTGTTTATACTTTTTTTGCTAATTCTTAAACTTCCTGACCTGTAGTTATTATTTTTGGGAGGTTTACTTTATTTTCTGCTTATTTGTTGTTGTTTTTTCCCCAGTCTATTCCTACTTTACAATCTTTTCTTCCTTCCTTCCTTTCTTTTTCTTTCTCTCTTTCTCTCTCTCTTCCTCTTTTTCTTTTTTTGTCTGTTTAGTATTTAAACTTAGGGATCCTACAGTTATTTGTTCCTCAGTGCAAATCTGTCTTCCTCACTATTTAATTTTGTTATAACTATTCCACTGGCTTAGGGGGAACATTGAAAAGAAACATAAGAATCAAAGTTTTTATTCTTGGAAGACATAGAATTCTGTTGTGTCTGCTAGAAAATTATTTTGCTATGCTCATTTCTGTTTAGCTATATTGGAAAAAGTGTTCTACCCTGTATTAGTTTGCTAGGGTTGCTATAACAAAGTACTACAAACTGGGTGTCTTAAACAACAGAAGTTCATTTATCTCACAGTTCTAGAGGCGATAAGTCCAAGATAAGGTGTTGATATGGTTGGTTCCTTCTGAAGGCTGTGAGAGAGGTTATGTCCCATGCCTGTTTCCTAGCTTCTGGTGTCTTGCTGGCAATCTTTGACATTCCTTGGCTTGTAGATGCATCACCCCAATCTCAGCTTTTGTGTTCACATGGCGTTCTCCCTGTGTGCACATCTGTGTCCAAATTTCCCCTTTTTATAAAGATAACCGTTATATGGGATTAAGGGCCCACCCTACTCTAGTCTGACCTCATGGTGATCTAATTACACCTGCCAATGACACTATTTCCAAATAAGGTTACATTCTGAGGTAATGGGGGTTAGGACTTAAACATACGAATTTTGGGAGGAGGACCATTCAATCCATAAGAACCCGTAAACTTGTCCTTGGTTAGATGCTCTCATCTTTAAGCCTCCTTTTCTCTTTTTGTCCTACCAGTTTGGAATCAAGACCATGTTGGAGACAGAAGAAGGAATTCTGCTGCTGGTCAGAGCCATGGATCCTGCTGTTCCCAACATGATGATTGATGCAGCTAAGCTGCTTTCTGCTCTTTGTATCCTACCACAGCCAGAAGACATGTATGTGACTGGAATTATTTTTCTTCTCTATTTTTTTTTATCGTCTTCCTTAGTCTAGAGGAATATTAAGTTGCTTGGGTGTCCACTTAGTCTTAAATACTAGGTAAGACTATATTTCTTACATGAACACTGTGTATCTTAATATTTAAGAAAGATTGTTAAGAGATGGAAGCTGTTCTGCATGTACCACTGGTTATCAAAGGTACAGCAGGATCTCCTAGATCTCCATTAATGTCTGTATTGTCTAGGACAAGGGTTTCTTTTTACATTTTTTTTAAATTCAGAAGTAACACACCATTATTTTTAAAATTCAAACAACATAGAAGTATATGAAGTACAATTTAACAACGTCATCCCTTTGGCAAACCCTATTCTGCAGAGGTAACCACTGTTAATGGTGTGGTACAGTCTCATAGATCATTTTCTAGCACAGACAAATATTTACTAAATTCTAACACACCTGCCACTCCAAAAGATGGTTTCTTAGAATTAAGGAAAGATGGCTTATGCCTATAAAACCAATCTCATGTATAGGATAGATTTTTATTTTTGTGGAGGGGTTTGGTTTAACAAAAGCTAAATCATACCACCATTCTTTTCAACTTGTTTCTTTTTATTTAACAGTAGCTCTTGGACATTCTTCTCTGGCAGTACTTCTAGATCTATCTTATTATCTTTAGTGGCTGTTTAGCATTTCATACTCTGTACGTCCCATAATTTAATGATTCCTTCATTGCTAGACTTTTAGGTAGAATTTTTTTTAGCACATTCTGACCCCTGCTCCAGATGATAAAAAATTTTATTATCAATTCTTGTGCATATATTCTTTGTACATATATTATTTCATATTTATGTGTTTATGTTAGATAGATTTTCTAGAAGTAAGCCAGTGTTATGTGCATTAAAAAATTGGTACTGTTAAATGCCCCTCCAAAAGTTGTACCAATTTATATGCCGTAGAACAGGGGTCTTAATTTGGTAAATATAGGTAGGAGTCTGGGGCGGATTTTAGGGAGTGCATTTTTCTGAAGAGATGGTCCTTAGTTTCCTGTTGATCTGGCCTCTGCTCCAGGTGATGAGAAGAAGAATGTGAGAAATCCAGAACATTGATAATGTCTGTTTCCTAACTGATCTATGCCTCTGTATAATATACCTGTTGTGTACCTGTCTGTGTCAGAGCACCCAACCAGTTCTCTCCCTTTCCATACTCTCTGGCAGGAATGAAAGAGTTTTGGAGGCGATGACAGAAAGAGCTGAAATGGATGAGGTGGAACGTTTTCAGCCACTGCTGGATGGATTAAAAAGTGGGACCTCCCTTGCTCTCAAGGCATGTATACCTATGAAACTTGGCCCAAAAGTAGAATTCAAGATAGAAAGACTTAAGTTCATTTGACCTTTTAAGAGAACACATGGAGTGGTTACCAATGATATATATTTCAAAGTTCTTTCTGAAGGGAAAATGATTACCCTTCTCTCCAAGAAGGCAGAGAAAGAACTGTCTTCCTCATTATGAGATGGAAAAAAGTCATGGTATTTATTTACAAGCTAGAAAAACAAGGCCTAGAACAAATTATACCGTAGAATCTCTGGAATCCTTTAGACCTCTGAACTCTCCAGACCTGTGTTTAAACCAAGTTGTATTGCTATATATAAGGAAGTCATTCTTGTAGTTTTTGTACTGAATCTTCTAGGTTATATTTGGGGGCCTCAGAATGCATGTAAAGAGAATGGAATCTTGATCTCTAGGAGTTAACGTTGACACAGCTGCTGAATTTTCTTATTTTAGGTGGGATGCCTGCAGCTGATCAATGCTCTCATCACACCAGCTGAAGAACTTGACTTCCGAGTTCACATCCGAAGCGAACTGATGCGCTTGGGGCTGCATCAGGTGTTGCAGGTGAGATGCAACACTTCATTAGAAAGGCTGGGCTGGTTCCTTCCTGCTCTTATAACCCCATCATCCCTGGGAAGACTTTGGTTTTCAGTTTAAAAACCAGGTTGAGGGAGTGCCCTGGTGGTCTAGTGGTTAGGATTCAGCACTTTCACTGCCGTGGGCCAGGTTCAATCCCTGGTTGGGGAACTGAGATCCCGCAAGCCATGCGGCATGCCAAAATTTAAAAAATTAAAAAAAAAAACAACAAAAAAACCAGGTTGAAATGTTTGGGTTTTTAACCAGCATAGGACACTTTTGGGTTCCCTGGCCTATACTTTTGCTGTTGACAGGACCTTCGAGAGATTGAAAATGATGATATGAAAGTGCAACTAAATGTGTTTGATGAGCAAGGAGAAGAGGATTCCTATGACCTGAAGGGACGTCTGGATGACATTCGAATGGAGATGGAATATCCTTTTACTGACTGGGTTGAAGACACAAGACATTCAGTTGCATTCAGTTGTAGATCCCTGTAAGGAATGGTGTGGGGTTGATGACTTACACGAGGGCATTAGCCCTGTCTTTGTAGATTAGGCAGGTGCCTTTTGATTGCCATTGGATATATTTACGTCATTGTGGACCAGAGAAGTTGGGAAAGGCGATCTGAGGGTTGCTCAACATGGAAGCAGCCATCAAAATTAGTATAGACCTCCTAGAACATGATAGCTTAGCTTATTAAGATGTAGAGCTGGTTTTGGGAGAACATAGACAAGTCAGGGAGTGAGGTTGTAATTTGCTCTCTTGTATGTTTCCATGAGACTGACGGGGAATAATTTGGTTACCTATTGATACTTGCCACAAGTGACTTTGAGGCAGTTACCTTTTTGTGTCTGTCTACTGCTCGATTTTCAAGCCAAGTACTAGGAGTTTTCTATCTCTGTGTATAGTACCCCCTGACTCACTGGTCCCCTGGCCAAAGAAAGTTTATAGAGCTTAAAGTTTAGGGCAGGGTTTACAGGAGGAACAGCTGTTAGAATAGAAGTGGCATCTTGCCACTTCTCCCGAGAATTGGGCAAGCTACCTGTCAAACATAGTTTCTAAATATATGCTTTCCTTAGCCTCTTCTCCTTTTCCACTGACTTCAGTGAAGTCTTCCAGATTCTCTTAAACACAGTGAAGGATTCAAAGGCAGAGCAACACTTCCTGTCCATCCTGCAACACCTACTTTTAGTCCGAAATGACTATGAGGCCAGGTAAGATGGTATACCTGTGGGAAGTTTTGAATTTGAGCCTAAGTGGAGAGTGCAAACTTCTTATATTCGAAGATTGTCTGTAGAGAGAAAAGGAAAAGACAAAGACATGGATTAGAGTTCATTTTTAGTTTCAGACATAAAGGGAGTTGCCAGTTGTCCCTTTAATCCAACTGAAAGGCATCTCTGTGGAAGAGATGAGAGTGTATAAGGTGAACTGCCTCCCTCTTTTGGAATGGGATGGTGGGGTGGAGTGAAGATGATAGCAAAGGAAGGCAGCCATTTAAAGTTGATTGATGTTGGAACATGAGATTCAAGCAGTAGAGTAGAGATTCAGCAATAGTAGTATCCATCACAGGCAGGATCAAGCTCGAATTTTAGGTGGAAAAGGATTTGCACTCGGAGGCAGATGGCAAGAAGTTTTGACTATCTGAAGTAGATGGGGTAGCTGATGTGGAAGAGGGGGATTTCTTAGCATGGCAGCAATACTCGGTTAATTTTATGAAAAGGTCTTTTCCAGAACATTTATCCTCAGGTCCTTCTGCTGTCAAAGCAGTTACCTTTCTTGATCCTGAATACCAAAATTTTATTTTGGTTTTCCTTTAATAACCTTATTTTGTTTCTTCTGTAGACCGCAGTACTATAAGTTGATTGAAGAATGTATTTCTCAGATAGTTCTGCACAAGAATGGGGCTGATCCTGATTTCAAGTGCCGGCACCTCCAGGTTGATATTGAGGGATTGATTGGTAAGCATATTTTTCTGTCTGGTTCCATAAAACATTGCTTCTATCTTTCATTTTGCATCTTTCTTTCAGTGAAAATTTCAGAGAAGATACTTTTCTAGCCCCTGGTATTTCCATTTTCACCCTTTCTTAGGTGATATAACCAATACCTGTGCTAGGAATATATAGGCCTTTAGTTTATTTCTACATAATTCTAAAAATTTATCCTGTCTCATACACCACCCCATGTTTTGAAGGGACTTCAGCTATTGTCTGCTACTCCTGCTGGTCCCAGAGATTCATAAGTATTACTTGTAGGCGTTCTCTGTGCCACCCGACATGGTGGCCTTACTGCATAACAGGCACTCAGAAATTATATGTTGAACTTAACTGAAAGTTCCATTTCTTTGTCTAGTACAGAACATTAAGAAGGATAAGAAAAATAAACAAAAAGAACAAAGACTGCCCTTTGGTTATGTAGAAGGGCTTAGGCAGTGAGAGGGGAATACGAGAATTGGGAACTTGACTTCCTGACTGTTCGCCTTCTTTTTAGATCAAATGATTGATAAAACAAAGGTGGAGAAATCTGAAGCCAAAGCTACAGAGCTGGAAAAAAAGGTATGTATGAGAGATCAAAAATAATTGGAGTATATCTTTCTTTAAGGATTTTGATTTTTCTGACATGTGAAACAGTTACCTGTGATATATTCCGTGTTCAGCACACAGTAGCAGTTCCTAGGGGAACCCTTTCTGCTGTAGGTTACTCAGTGGAGAAAGTGGTGTGGATGTGATCATGAGGAACTAGTCAGTCGTGAGTTTGCACAGTTCTTGGGCCCCTGAGCAGGAGGAAAGACAGGTGACACTCTCATATAACATTGACAGCACTTGGGTTTGCTTGGCGACTCAGGCCTTTTATCCATAGAACAACAGGAACTGGAATATGTCTGAATTCTCTTTTTCTCTTTGATTAAGGACTCCTATTGTTTTTGTTTGTTTTTTTTTTTAATTTTTTTTTTTTTTTTTTTTGCGGTACGTGAGCCTCTCACTGTTGTGGCCTCTCCCGTTGCGGAGCACAGGCTCCAGACGCGCAGGCTCAGCGGCCATGGCTCACGGGCCCAGCCGCTCCGCGGCATGTGGGATCTTCCCGGACCGGGGCACGAACCCGTGTCCCCTGCATCGGCAGGCGGACTCTCAACCACTGCGCCACCAGGGAAGCCCAAGGACTCCTATTGTCGATAGGTTTTTGATCCTTGAGAATCAAAATTGTGCACCTTAGCTGTCCTGGTTAAGTGTCTTTAAAATCTTAGTTGTTGCTGTTTTTTAAAATAACTCCAAGTATAGATAGACTATGGAGATAATCCCTGGCTTCCCCTTCCTTTAACCTTGATTTTAAGGTCGAGATCATGGTGGCCTTTTTTCCAGGCATCCCTTGGGTCAGTGAGCTCAACAGATCAAGGATTAGCACAAAACAGTAAATTATGGGGACTAACACCTGGCCTTTGCTGAGTTGGAGAGCTTACTGGGAGCCTGATTTCTTTCTCCTCTAGCTGGACTCAGAGTTAACAGCTCGACATGAGCTACAGGTGGAAATGAAAAAGATGGAAAGTGACTTTGAGCAGAAGCTCCAGGATCTTCAGGGAGAAAAGGATGCATTGGGTTCTGAAAAGGAAAAAATTGCCACAGAGAAACAGAACCTGGAAGCAGAAGTGTCTCAGCTCACAGGAGAGGTAATATCTGAACAGAGAAGGCAGAGTGACCTGTAACTGCCATCAGCAGCCTCAGAGTGAGCTTGTGTTGGAGCAGGAGGACTCTGTCATCTTACTCCCAGGGAGGGTTCAGATACTAATAGGTAATCTAGTTAGATGGCACATATTTTTAAAATCATAAGCTGTTTTGTTTTGGAAGTAAGTAATACATAAGATGGAAAATTTGGAAAATACAGAACAACACAAAGAATAAATGAGTCACAGTACTACCCAGAAATAAAGATAATAGCCTTCTAATAAATTTAGGAGTAAATACTAAACAAAGTGTTCTCATATTTGCTATTTTTCTCTTATTTTAGTCATCTCTGGACAGATTTATGCCCACACACTCTCTGCAGTTATAGATATTTATATGATCTGTGATACTTGATAACTTGATCACCTAGGTGGTTATATAATTACCTGTATAGCACATATGTTAATTACGTACCTAGAATATTTGATTTACTTGATCTTTGCGTTTTCTTTCTTTTTTAAAAAATTAATTTATTTTATTTTTGGCTCCATTGGGTCTTTGTTGCTGCGCGCGGGCTTTCTCTAGTTGCGGTGAGCAGGGGCTACTCTTCGTTGCTGTGTGCAGGCTTCTCGTTGCGGTAGCTTCTCTTGTTGTGGAGCACGGGCTCTAGGCATGCGGGCTTCAGTAGTTGCAGCACGCACGCTCAGTAATTGTGGCTCGCAGGCTCTAGAGCTCAGGCTCAGTAGTTGTGGTGCACAGGCTTAGTTGCTCCGTGGCACGTGGGATCTTCCCGGACCAGGGATTGAACCCGTGTCCCCTGCGTTGGCAGGCAGATTCTTAACCACTGCGCCACCAGGGAAGTCCCGATCTTTGCATTTTCTAATCAAAGGGAGAGTTTAACATAAACTTTGAAGTTGCCATTTTAATGCAAAGCATACTGAGCTAGGAACCTGAATTCTAGTTTTGTCTCTGTCACTAAATAGCTATGTGACTTTAGGTGGAGCCTTTCAACTGTCTGACTCCTTTCACTCCCTTCATGTGTAAAGTGAGAAGTTTGGATTAAGTAAGTTCTTAGGTCCTTTCCAGCCCCAGTGGTCCCTGAAGTGGAGTGAGAAGTACTCCCATTGGTGTTATTTCTGTAGGTTGCCAAGCTGTCCAAGGAACTGGAAGATGCCAAGAAAGAAGTGGCTTCACTCTCCACTGCAGTTACTGCTGCAGCCCCTCCTAGCAGTGCTACTTTTCCCCCTGCCCCTCCTTTACCTGGTGACTCTGGGCCTGTCAGTCCCCCCTCACCCCCTTTACCAGGAGAGGTTAGCACAGCCTCCGCACCCCCTCTTCCTGGGGGTGGGGCCATTCCTCCTCCACCACCTCCTCCTCCTCCTCTGCCTGGGGGTGCCTACATCCCCCCACCCCCTCCTCTGCCTGGGGGTGCCTGCATCCCCCCACCTCCCCCTTTGCCTGGGGGTGTTGGCATCCCCCCACCTCCGCCTTTGCCTGGGGGTGTTGGCATCCCCCCACCTCCTCCTCCCTTGCCTGGAGGACCAGGAATGCTACCTCCCCCTCCCCCTCTTCCTGGTGGAATCCCTCCACCTCCTCCATTTCCTGGAGGCCCTGGTATTCCTCCACCTCTCCCTTTTGGAGTTCCTGCAGCCCCAGTTCTGCCATTTGGATTAACCCCAAAGAAACTTTACAAGCCAGAGGTACAGCTCCGGAGGCCAAACTGGTCCAAGGTGAGAATTTCTGTCCATCTCTTCATCAGTAGATTTTAAGAGACCACTTCAGTTTCCTACTTTGTGTTTTGTGCATGGTTGGGCTTCCCTTTCTTATGGCTCACATCTGTCTGTCTTCAGGTTTCACTCATGTGTATGTTTATTCAGCAGATAATAGGCAAATCCTATATGCTGGATATCACTCGGGAGGGTTCTTCGAGCCCTATACTCTGCTACAAAACCTAAACTTATTCTTAAGTTAATATTTTTGCCCTTTTCTCTGAGGGTATGAGTGCCATGGGATACCACACAGTTTGATAATAGTCATTTCACCAATCTGCAAGGTACTGATAAATTTTGCTGATCCAAAAGTCATGGATTTATGGATGCAGCTCCCTACCACTCCCACCCACCCCCACCCCGGTAAATAAGTTACACAGGATATGTTTGCATGGCACAGTGTGTGTTTGAGAGCGCTGTGATTCTGCATCAGCCTTTTGCTTCTGGAGACCAAGGTAGAATAAAGGAGCTTAGGGATTTGTTCATAAAGTGAACAAATTTGGTACAGTTCACCACCCTGATGGGAAAAGTGTAATGTAGAGCAAGGGAAGATGTGAAATAAAGCCTTAATGCTTCTAAAAGTAGAGGATTTGGGGTTAGAAGGAGGATAAGCAGCGTAACTGATTCTAGTTGTTGAATAATCACCAATAAACACATAACCTGGAATCATCGTCTCCTGGTCCCACCACAAAGAGCATAGCTGTTCTCTGTGTCTCAGGTTAGTCTTATTCTAGTATGATGTTGACAATAACCAGCCAGCTGCTTCTTTTGCATCTTAATCAGTTTTCTAGGATGGAAAGTACAGAGCTCAGTTTAGTAACTCTTAACACCTGCCTGTATCCACAGTTTGTCGCTGAGGACCTTTCCCAAGACTGCTTCTGGACAAAGGTGAAGGAGGACCGATTTGAGAACAGTGAACTTTTCGCCAAACTTACCCTTACCTTTTCTGCCCAGACCAAGAGTGAGTCCTTTCCTCTTTCGTGCAAAGGGCCAGTGTAGGACTTAGAACATTTGTTAAGGGGGTCTCCCATTTCTTTCCCTTCCCTGGGTAAGGGTTGAAGAGAGCTGGGAGCTCCTATTCAGAAGAAAATAAGCTGGTTTTGTATTCTGGGGATGCTGGAGTTGGCAAAGAGAACTGTTGCATGTACGTATTTTTCCCCCCAGTTTTTTTGCATATAGGTATTTTACATGCATGTAGGTATTTTACACAAGTGTAACTTGTGGGGATATGAGGTTAATGTGACAGAGCTCAGGCTGGTCTGAGAGTATCATTTTGATGATACTCTTGAATGGATTCTGGCACTGCCTTTAAGGCGCCTTCTTTAGACCTACATATGTAATTGATAAGAGCTGAGCAGAGTCTTTAGTAGGTGAGGTGGCTGAACAACTGTCTTTGTACAATAACAAAGAACCATATGTGATCCCTTTTCTTTTTTCCATTTCTTTCCAATATCTGATGCTTTCTCCTTCCTGGCACTTTGCTCCTGCAGCTTCGAAAGGTAAGAATACAGAAGAGCCTTGTAGCTGGGTCTCTTGAATATTAGAGAAAAAAATGAAACAGATGTAAAGGGATTTCTCTTTAGAAAACTAAGACTAGAAATTGGGGATTGATTTCTCTTTTGCTAGTTTTTTTTTAAGAGTCCAGAAGGACCAGTAGCTCTGATGTTAGCTGACAGGGAAGAAAATTATTTTAAGTTGAAGCTACAATATACTTGCTCTTTCTTTGGAAGGTGAGGGACAACTTAAATAATAACACTGTTACTTTACATTTGTGTTGCATTTTACAAATTTCAAAGTGCTTTAACATATTCTACCCTATTAGGACTGCAGAGAAACCTTATGAGATAGGTTGGGTGTATATTATCTCCGTTCCATAGCTTACATAGCCTTATTAGTTAGGTAGCTTGCCCGAGGTTTTATATGGCCAGATCCAGGGGTCTTGACTTCTGGTCTGTCTCTTCATATAAATTCTTGCTTTTCTTCTTCACCTTCATATCTTCCCCTTTATTTTAGAAGAGCTGATCTATTTTGCCCTTTTCTTTCTTCACTTCCTAATTCTTGTGGTTTCGTGCTGTCTTGTGATGGGACACTTACAGTTATTTCCCCAGAGGGATGCAGTATTTGCAAGGTATTGTCATGTACCTAATGACAGTTATAACCTAATAATTTTGTATTTCCATCTTCTTCCAGCTTTTTTGTTTATTTAGAGGTTTATTATGACCCTAGTGATGACAATTAAGTGCAACTTCAGAGCACTCCTCCCTCCCCCTGCCAGTAAATAAGCATTTTTAAAGACAGTTACTACTTTTTTCCTTAAGTGATCTGATGGGACTAGGCTGCACTTCATTCTAATAAGATACCTAACGGAGTTTTCTGGTGGCCTAGTGGTTAGGATTCGGTGCTTTCACTGCAGAGGCCTGGGTTTGATCCCTAGTCAGGGAATCATCCCGCATGCTGCATGGCATGACACAGCCAAAATACAAAAAAAAAAAAAGAAAGAAAGAAAGAAAAGAAGCCTGTGCCTCTGGCAGCCCCTAGTTACACATATGTATCTAGGAGTCAAAGATCACAGTGCTCAGGCCTGCCCTGTTGCCCTAGCATTCTGGGCAAAGTTGCCTTTTCCTCTAAGAGATATATCACCTTCTGAACTAAAGTTCAGCTCGGAGAATTACTTCTACCTGCTATTAAAAATGCTGTGATAATGACCACTTATACTACTCTAGAATATCAGCAAAGACTAGTTGAAGATCAAATTTGCTAATTTGTAAGTTCACAGAATACATCCCTGTGTTGGCCCCTGGTGTCTTTTTCTTTCTGGTGGCTGCATTCTGAGTGCCACTGCAAACGTACACTGACGGGGTCCCTTTTCCTCCCTGCTCTGTCACCATCCTTCTTTTATCCTGTACATTTGTATTGCTGTTGATTGCAGTGGAGTTTTCTGCAGTTTAGTGGTTTGCCTCGGCATTTTATTCCCACTGTGAATTGGTAGGTAGTGTGTGTGTGTGTGTGTGTGCGTGTGTGCGTGTGTGTTTTTTGGCTGCGTTGGGTCTTCATTGCTGTGCAAGGGCTTTTCTCTCTAGTTGTGGCGAGCGGGATCCACTCTTCATTACGGTGTTCGGGCTTCTCATTGCGGTGGCTTCTCATTGCGGAGCACGGCCTTTGGCGTGCGGGCTTCAGTAGTTGTGATTTGCGGGTTCTAGAGCACAGGCTCAGTAGTTGTGGCACACGGGCTTAGTTGCTCCGCGGCATGTGAGATCTTCCCAGACCAGGGCTTGAACCCATGTCCCCTGCATTGGCAGGCAGATTCTTAACCAATGTGCCACCAGGGAAGTCCTGGTATGTAGTGTTGTTTTTTTTATTAATTAATTAATTTTTGCCTGTGTTGGGTCTTCGTTTCTGTGCGAGGGCTTTCACTAGCTGCGGCAAGCGGGGGCCCCTCTTCATCGCGGTGCGCGGGCCTCTCACTGTCGCGGCCTCCCTTGTTGCGGAGCACAGGCTCCAGACGCGCAGGCTCAGTAGTTGTGGCTCACGGGCCCGGTTGCTCCGCGGCATGTGGGATCTTCCCAGACCAGGGCTCGAACCCGTGTCCCCTGCATTGGCAGGCAGATTCTCAACCACTGCGCCACCAGGGAAGCCCTGTAGTATTTTTTAAATACCTAAGCAAGACCTTATCTCATCGTTTGTTATTTTCAACAGTGTAACCAAACTTTTTAATGTTCTTTTAGCCTTCAGTTTCTGCCCTGGAAACTATTTTCTTTTCATTGATGATTCTAACTTCCTGACAGCTTTGGCTCCCGCCCCCCCTCTTAAATTATTCTTAGAAATCTCTGTATCTTAATCTGAAAGGAATAAGTATGAATTAGTCAATTTAGTTTAGTTTAGTGTCAGTATTGATTTTCATGTAATAATAATCATCATTAGTAGTTTGCTGCTACTTTGACGAAGGACATTTCTAGCTAGTCTTTAAATATCTTTACTTTAGTTAGGACTTTCAGGTGTTAAATTGGCACCCTGCCTTAATTTCCCAGTCTTTTTATTAGGAAGCACTAGAGAAGGTGTTCTTGAAAATTATTAAATCATGAACAATTTTCCAAACATCCTAAATCTTACTCATTTAAAAAAATTCCTGGGAGAGATTTTTTTTTTCCTATCAAACAAGTACTTATGGTTTACCCAACTCTAACAGTTATCACATGCAACGAAACCTTCCTGCTTTTCATCAACCACACTACATCTGTATGTTTCCAGTCATCTTCTCCCAAGAAACAAATGCTGCTCCCTTTAAAAATTATTTCTTCCTTGCATTTTCAGTGTTTTACTGACTTTAATGTTTGGTTTATTTTTTTCTTCTACATTTTCTTGCTTTCTTTTCCTTTGAGTTACTCTGCAAATCTATAGTGATGCAAGCAGTATTTGAATGTCAGGACTTGTTCTAATGTGTGTTTCTTGGTGACAGAATAGTTGCTTTGACATCATGTACATGGGCATCAAGTAGCAGATGGAGGTGCTGCATGTGGACCCAGTGCCACAGTACCCACCGTGATCAGGGTAACTCATCTGCTCTGCCTTTTCTGAGGCAGTTTTGAGCCTCCCTCTCTTGGTGCTGTGGTTGACAGACTTAATACAGACTCCTCCCAAGTAGCCCCTTTCTTTCAACATGGCCCCCCAAAAACACTTTAGTAAAAAAGACTTTAGGCTTCTTAGAGTTTAGGTTTTTATCAGGTAAGGAATTTCCAGCTAAGAAAACTTCAGAGGTGAGGACTCAGAGGATCTAGAGCTCCTCAGTATGAAGGCAAGGTTTACTTTGCTTTTGGTGCTTTGAACATCTCTAGTATAACATTTCAGAATACCTTCATTCTTAATCCTTTTTTCAAGTAGGTAACCAGTTTCAGTTACCAAGTCTCTCATTCATAGCCTTAATATTGATGGTATAATTAAATGATAGATAAATACTCATTGCCACTCTATAACTATTTCATCTTCCAGATGAAGTAGAGATATGGGTTAAATAATTTTTTCAAGGCCTTATAGTAAGTGCCAGAGGCAGGATTCAGACTCCAGAGTGTGACCCCAAAGTCCTGCTCTAACCCCCTGCTTCCCAGATGTGTATGTCCCTGCCCTAAGAGCTTCTGAAAGCTTAGATCCAGACAGAAGCTTGAAGAAGGAGATATGCTGGCTTCTGCTACCACCTCATTCATTCTGTCACAAATATTCTTAAATTGGAAGTGACTCTTATGAGTACAAAAAAGGAACAACATTAGATTAGGGAAAGTAAGATACCAGATATTTAGGGTTGAAGAAGAGGAGCCATGTTCTGATTACAGTATATTCAACTCTAGCAAAACTAATCCAGCTGGAGAAGCACGACATGCATATCTAGTACAGTAGACATCTTGCTTAAATGATTTCAGCCCAGTAGTTGCCAGTCTTGATGAAGAAGTTATCTGGACACAAGGTTCTCATAATATTGCATTGTTTCATCTCTCACTTGCTAACACAGCTCTCTGCTGTTTGTTAAGCGTAGCTGTATCCCCCTTACATTGTAGTGGTACCTGAAACCTCCCATATACTGACGGCTCCTCCAGGAATGAACATCAAAGAAAACATCCGCCTTACTCTTGATATCTGCCTCCTGTAGTCAAAGGTCTCGAGCCACTGCTTCATTAAGGTTCAGGAAAATGTGTGCCTTTTACTAAGAAGAGCTAAGAGAGAGGAAGTGGTTCTCAAGTTTACACTACAGATTCTTTTATGCATTTTTCTCTCTTAAGGATTATTGTCTTGTTTCTGATCTCTTGACTTTCTGTAAATCAGGAATTTACTTTAGTTGATTTATTCCTTGACAGAGAATATTTTGAATTTTGATTTGATAGGCAGTGCTGTAAAACTTTTAGTCCTTTTTCACTCTCATGCTCATGGTTATCAGCCAGGATTCTTTTTTTTTTTGCGGTACGCGGGCCTGTCACTGTTGTGGCCTCTCCCGTTGCGGGGCATAGGCTCCGAACGCGCAGGCTCAGCGGCCGTGGCTCACGGGCCCAGCTGCTCCGCGGCACGTGGGATCTTCCCGGACCGGGGCACGAACCCGTGCCCCCTGCATTAGCAGGCGGACTCTCAACCCCTGCACCACCAGGGAAGCCCTCAGGAGTCTTTTATCATGGTTTCTTTGTTGAATCTGCTTCTTGAATTCCTTGGGAACATGTTCAGTAGTTAAATTTTATTCTTTTTCATCTTCTCCTAGGGAGCATTTTCATCACTGTGGTGGTGGCCTCAGGTCATTATTTGTATGTACAAGATAACTAGTTTTTCATTCTGCTTTCCTTCTCTTACTCTCTTTTGTTGATATCATGATCCCATTAAAAGTATCACCTCTTAAAACGTAGGGTGGTAAGTGATAACTGATGTCCTAAGTACAGTGATGTTTTTCTTTTTTGGTTTATTCCTTCCTTCCAAAAAAAATTCTGGATTTATAAGATCCACAAGCTAATCGTCCTTAGTAGGTGTG